CGCAACTCGATTTCAAGTCAGTTTCAAAGAATATCATCTTCACGTCAAAAAATGTGAAATACTTCTAATGAGAAATTTCCAAGTTCAAAGGGTATAACGTATTAACCCTTTGCACTCGAGAGCTGACTCTCACTTACCACTTGATTTACAGTAAAACTGTAAAATTTGATATTTAGTATTATATTTCCTATAATGCATCAATCCGAGAAATATTGACGTAAAATAAGTTTTACCGTCAATTCACGTGAATCTCTCGTCGAGTTGGTTTTACGAAATGTCGTCTTCATCTCGTCAGAAAATGTTAAAATATTTCTAGTGAAAAACTTCCGAGTGCAAAGGGTTAACTTTCGGGAGATCATCGAACGTCAAGTTTTTCTAATCTCAATAACTCTCAGTCCTGTCCCTCCATTTTCGCAGAATTTTAATAGCTTCGCACGCGACACCAGTGTGGTGTCACCGGCATTTGTCCCATTCTTTTCGCGAGACACCAACGTGACGTCACCGGACGACATAGTGTTAATCATCCCTCGGTTCGATCGACTCGCGAGATCGAAGAAGCGTCCGAACGCGCGCGATTTATTCGCGCGGGAAGCTCTCCGACCTAATGGCTTTCCAGTATTTCTCCACATCCTTCGGCGAGATACACGGAAGCTAATACTCCCGGGTCAAAGTGGAAAACTAAAAGCGCTGGTAAATGGGGTCGGTCGAGTTCTCGATGCTGTACGCGGCCGAGCTTCTTCCTCGCCGATCCACTCTTTCTGCCTCTGCTTCGCCGAAGACGAGAATCAAACCCCACTCTGTTCCTTGGCTTTCTTTCGGCTCCATTTTGTTTCGCCTTAGGGGCAAGACGTACGGAATTTTCGAATGAAATCCTATGCTCGTTATAGTACGTATCTATCGAAAATAAATTTCCTGATTTCTCCTTTGCGTAATTATTAAAAAGATAACTGACGTTCCTCTGAGAAATTGTTACATTGATTTAACAATACGCAAACTGAACTGATGAAGTTCGAATAGATACACTCTTAGTTTCTATAGAATTTCCGAAAGTCAGTTTAACTGCTCGGTAGTTGTAGTATTTCCCTTTGCACTCGGAAGCTTTTCACTAGAAATATCTGAACATTCTCTGATGAGATAAAATTTTGTGAAACTAAGTCGACGAGAAATCACGCGTACATCGAACAAAGCTATTTTATATTTCTCAAAATGATGCATTATAGGAAATATAATATCAAATATCAAATTCTATAGTTCTACTGTAAATCAAGTGGTGAGAGTCACCTCCCGAGTGCAAAGGGTTAATTCAATCATAAAGTTTCGGAGCTTGCGACCTTCAATGATCTTATCGCAGTAACGCGAGCTCGTAAACTCATGTTCTCCGAAAACGAAGGACCATCGTCGAGCAAACCGATAAGAGCTCGTTCCTACACATGTACCACGATATACTTTCGTCGAACAACAGATTTTGACGTCCGACCCTCCCCGGTTAGATCAACGAAAGAGATCGCCTCTTTTTGCCAATATCCCGGCGCGCTCCGCTCGCTCCCAGTTTCCCCCGCATTCCGTAACGGATTCCCCCCGTCGCGGTCGTTTCGACTCGAGATTTCGATTCGCGTTCCGCGAATTATTACGACTGCGAGGAGGAGGATTCGAAGGGGGACACGATCGCGCGCCGCGCTCCGGCGAGCAGAAACGCGACTCTGTCTTTGATAGACCGGAAACGCGGCCGTCGGCAGCCCCTGACAGCTCTCGATAAAACTTTTCCCGCGGCGTACTCCGCGAGGTCCGATACTCGACGCGTTTTAAAACCGATGCACGCGTTACATCGCCGCGCTGAATGCGGCCGGAGACAAGGGTGCCCCGGTTATCGGCTCGCTCCGCGGCGCGAATACTCCCGGCGAGCGTCGACCGTTTAGGGCCTGTCCGCGCGAGCGACTGAGATTTCGGGAAAACAAAGGCAAAGTTCTCTTATTCTTCTTCCGCGAGACAGGACATTGTTCCTCTGCTCGTCCGAAACAATCGACGCTGCAGATTTTACATGTCACGTGCAAATTTCATACGCGATGTACGATTAACCCTTTGCGGAAGATTCTTTGTGTCCGAAATATTCCGCAGGTGAAGTTAAATTATATATCGATTGATTAGTTCTAAGACTCGACTGCTTGGCAGTTCTAGTGTCGATTGCTTCGATATACTTCCTAGAAGTACGCACTAACGAAAAGTTTTAGAATTAGTCGAGTAGCAAGAGATCAGCGAGTTTCCTTTTATCCTAAGCAATCGATATATAATTTAACTTCATCCGCCGAAGGTTTCGGACACAAAGAATCTTCGGCAAAGGGTTAATTATACATCGATTGCTTAGGATAAAAGGAAACTCGCTGATCTCTTGCTACTTGACTGATTCTAAAACTCGACTGCGTGGTAGTTCTAGTGTCGATTACTTCGATATACTTCTCAGAAGTGCGCACTAACGAAAGCGTCTCAAAGTGAATGCAACGTTATATCTCTTGATCATTCGAAAGCTCGCGAGCAGAGATCGAACGTCACGGAGTAATGGCAGCCAACGTTCTAAGCGTAGGGAAGCTAAACGGTCCGGACGACACGCGAGTCGCGTCGATTCCACGGCAATTCCGAGTCCCTGTTCCGGTTCCGGCGCGAGAGCTGGGGCAACGTGAATTTACGACTCGCGCTGGCTCCGTTTTGGCCGCGATCCATCGCGGAAAAGTCGCGAGCCGTTAACCGTTTGAGTGGCACGGGTCTTTCCTAGAACCCGGCCGAAAGGTGCCAAGCGGCGGGTTCGCGCTTCTGTCGTTTCAACTCGGGAACTGAATGACACTTCTATGTTCTCGCGGAAAAAACTTCTAAACAGTGCATAGAACAATGGCAAAAATAACGATGGATGATGAGAGAGAAATGACTAAACTTCATTTGATCCTACAACCTTTAGAATGTATCCTGCTCCAAGCAGTGTATTCGTAGTAACTATTATTACTATTGTTATTTTTATTACTATTATCGGTATCAGGGCTACTTTTTCACAGAGAAAAGTCCTAACAGTGCATAGAACGATGGCAAAAAAGAACGATAGATGATGAGAAGAGGAATCAGTAAACTTCATTTGATCCTACAATCGTTAGTATTCATAATAACTATTATTACTATTGTTATTATTACTATTATTATCGGTATCACAGCTATTTCCATTACTATTACCTTTGAAAATTCTATCTTGAACGTTTCCATCTCTGTTCTCCCAGAGAAAAGTTCTGAACAGTGCATAGAACAATGGCAAAAATAACGATAGATGATGAGAAGAGAAGAATAAGTAAACTTCATTTGATCCTACAACCTTTAGACAGCATATTTATAACTATCATTACTATTGTTATTATTACTATTATCGGTATCACGGCTATTTCTGTATCACTTTCGATAATTCTATCTCGAACGTTACCATCATAGAATTGCGTCCTAAAAACGTCGTCAGTCTAAAGGGAGTATTCCTCTCGCGACAGCGACGTAGCAGGCAGTACACCTGAGAAGCGCGCTGTTTGCCACTTAAAAGGTTAAATACGCGACGAGTCGGCGCGATCCGGAGAGCGTGCAGCGGCCACGACGTCCGGAGGCGGCGAAAGAAAGAGGGAAACGGGCCGGGAGAGCCCGGATTGCGGAGGAATCCGCGCTGTTCGAGGTATACGAGGCGAATGGTTCACTTATTAATGCTCGGGCGGCTGCGTGAGCTGCCGGGCAGCAGGGGGAGGGGCGCGGGAACAAGGCCTGGACGCGTTTACGTTTTCATTTCGGGGGACGGGGCGAAAACCGGGGCGACTCGGGCGAACTGGGTTACTCGGGGACGATTCCCGAGAGGGTTATTCCCCTCCGGCGTTGGCCCGCGATACATCCGGCGCCGGCGAACCGGGGGAGACCGGCCATTTTCCTTCGCTTTCCTTTATTCCCCTGTATTGTCCCGTATCTTCCCGCTAATCGCTCGCGTCTCCGACGCGGAGGAGTTACGCGCGACTCTCCCTTCCTCCTCTTCCGGCGCGTTCCTTTCCACGAGCGTGCGCTTAGTTTGTGTCGCTCGTTTATCGATGTGGGTCAGTTATGGCGATAAAAAGCCAAGGGAAAGAAAGGAACGCTGGCACGCGAAAACAACCTTTAACCCTTTACTCGGGCCGCCTTTCGGTCGCCATTTGCTTTGACCCAATGAAATGGTGAAATTTAGAATTCAATATTGAATTTCAATGCATCAACGTATGGAACGTCGAAATAGAATAGTTTCATTAATTTATGCAGGGAGTTTCTTTGTGTTAGTTGTAAGAAATGTCATAATGAATATTTCGAGAAAAATGTTCTCGAGTGCAAAGGGTTAAAGCTACGATCTCAAGCGGATCACAATCTACGCGACAAACGAAAACAGAATCTGCTGCGTAGAAACTGCGATTATCTAAAGCAAAATAAAATTTGAATCGCGAACGATTAACGCGTATCGATCGGTGCACGCGTTGCTGCGTAAAAAGTGCGATTATCTAAATGAAAATAAAATTGAAATCACGAACGGAAGTGTTGACTTTTGCACTCTGACGAGGCGGGTTTCGATCGGCGCCCATCTGACGATCGCGCGTCCGCGGGTCGATCGGGATCGACGGGAACGGAGGGCAGAGGCTCGCGACGCGCGTTCTGGCCGCGACTGGTGACACGTGCGAAATAATTGTCCGGCGGCAGCGTCGATCGATCGGCGCTCCACTCGAGAACTAGATTAAAAGCTCTCGATAATAGTTTTATTACGCGTCTCTTGACCTCCTCCGGGCCGGGCGGACACGCCGCTCGTTCCGTCGACGTTCGATATCGGTCGAAAAAACCGCTCGAGATAAAGCCACTCGAACGACTCGAGAATCAGATTTCAGATTAGTTTTCGAATCGGCCGATCGGCGCCCGTGATTTTTCCTATAAATACCGAATCCCGGCCGCTCACGAATCACAACATTGGCCACCGTCGACGACCGAAAACCGAGGAGGACCGCCGGAATGTTCAAGCTGCTCGCGATCTTCGCCCTAGTGGCAATGGCCACCGGTAAGTCCTTATCCGATTTACGGCCAACTTTCGGGAGACGTCGCGCGGAATCACGGGATCGAACGGGTAATCCGAGAACTTCGCGTCCGACCGAGTAAACGTATGAATTAAAACACCACCCGCCCCTCGCGGCGAAACTTCTCCACGAGCGAACTTCGCTGAATTACTCGGAAAGTAACTGGCCGGTGGATAATACGCTTAGCGTTCCGCGGCGCGCCGTACGGTCGAACGGCCGTTTTCTGGAGGGACCTCGATAGCTTGGAAAGTAACGGACGCTTCAAAGTTGTAGAGTATAGAGCTGAACTGGTAATTACGCTTTGTTTACGTTACGAGAATATTACGAATTTTCCTCTATGACGATATTTCGATTACAACGTTGTGTATATAGTTTCCAAATGAGAATCGTAACTCTCGATTAGTTAGTGATAATATATTAGTAATACATATAGTAACTCTCAATTAGTAACAATAATATATTAGTAATACATTATACAGTAACTCTCGAGTAGCTAGTAATAATATATTAGTAATATATTATATAGTAATTCTCAATTAATAATAGTAATATATTAGTAATACATTATATAGTAACTCTCAATTAGTAATAATAATATATTAGTAATGTCTTATATAGTAACTCTCAATTAGTAGTAATAATATATTAGTAATACATTATATAGTAATTCTCAATTAATAATAGTAATATATTAGTAATACATTATATAGTAACTCTCAATTAGTTACTAATAATAATATATTAGTAATACATCATACACTAACCCTCAATTTCCATAGTAACCCTCAACTTTCCTTACGCGAGTAGTCGAATTCGAGTTAGCACCTAAACCGCCCCTATCGTAACCTCCACCCCGATATTCAACGACTCGGAGATTTAATTTTCCAACGATCCTCAGGGAGCCCCATCAACCAATCGGAGGGCGCGATCGACCTCAGGATGGACGGTCGCATAGTAGGCGGCGAGGACGCGACGATCCAGCAGGCCCCGTACCAGGTGAGCCTGCAGTCGAACGGCAGACACTTCTGCGGCGGCAGCATAATCGGCAAGCACTGGGTGCTGACCGCCGGCCACTGCGTCGGCGCCAAGGCCAGCTCGTACAGGATCCGCTCGGGTTCGACCAAGGTGAACGGCGGCTCGGTGCACCGGGTGCACCAGGTCATCAGGCACAAGCAATACGGCAGCAACAAGCACGGCGTCCCGACCCACGACATCGCGCTGCTGCGTCTGGTCGACTCGGACGGGTTCGAGTTCAACTCTGGCCGCAAAGCGGTGAACCTGTTCGACGGCAGCTCCCCGTCGCTGGTCGGCAAGTACGGGCTGGTGACCGGCTGGGGTCAGACCAAGTCGGGCACCCCCACGACGCTGCAGAAGGTCAAGGTGCCCCTGATCTCGCACAAACAGTGCAGCGACGCGTACAAGACCTCGGGCGGCGTGCCCGAGGGAGAGCTCTGCGCGGGCTACACCGCCGGAGGCAAGGACTCCTGCCAGGGCGACTCCGGCGGCCCCCTGGCCGTCGACGGCAAGCTCGTCGGAATCGTCTCCTGGGGCAAAGGGTGCGGCACGCCGAACTACCCGGGCGTCTACACCGACGTGTCCCACTATCGCCAATGGATCAGACAGAACAGCGGAGTCTAAGCTCGCTTCCGTCTACCAGCGTAATCTTGCCCGTTGATACTAACACTACCGAGTTCGAAAATTTTATAGGAACGAGTGCGTCCGTGCAGACTCTGATCTAAATGACTGATGTTATTAATACCTTAGAAGCACTGAATATTTAAGCGACTTTGGAAATAGTTTTACTATGATGAATATTAACTGGAAATAATCTATTGTTACAATTCTTATAGATTACATATCGATCGTAGTCCTAGTGTTAATTTCTCAGAGAAACGTTTGACTTTCCAATGATTGCGAAGACATTAGGTCGTTCGACTCGTCTGCTAGTTTTAGTTGATACTAGATTTACGAATGTTTATACTCTTTATGCTATTGATTTTGGTGAGCTCGATAGGTCTCGAAGATTGTAGAAAATTATAGTATTACAGTGCGTTCGCGTAGCCGCGAATAATCGACTGGAACAGTTGCTGAACGACGTTTAAAGGATTCGGTACTCGTCGGATCGACGGGTTCCGTAGACCTGCCGTTACACCCGCGCGACGGGTACATCCGTTAACAAGATACTCCGACGACGCGAGAAGGGCGCACTCGACTTGCCGTAAGTTCCGATCGCCGGGACTTACCGTAAGCCGATTTACCGATGCCTCGCAATAGGTTTAACGGGGGCGAATCAATCGTAAACCGCGACGTTATTTGTAAACCGTAATGTAATGACGATGTAAACTTGCCGCAAGCCTGTAAATAGCTGCTGTTCTGCGAATAAACCTGACTCGTTCGAAACGACTCGTTTTGCGTCTTTCCTTTCGTCGAACCGCTGGGGTTTCTGGGAAACGGTGCGGCTGCTCTGTTGTATATTACCCAATGAACACCCTATATGTTCGTAACTATTATTACCGCTATTATTTCCGGTATCGCGATTTCTGATATTATTACTAACCACGTCAACGTCAAACTAACCGGAAGTATCTCAAGTTTACTTACCGAAAACTACTGTCGGCAGTAAGAATTTCAGAGAAGCGACTTAGATACTCGACGTGTTAATTGTAAATATATAATGACAGTGATGAAAATAAAACGATTTAGCATTGATCCAGCATCATTTCAAATATTCAATACTTTTAAGATACCAATAATTCCGAAACAAAACAATCGAAACGTCATTTTGACTGGTACGTAGTTCTAGTGTTAAGGGTTGAAACCTCTACCACGTGTCTCCAACTCGAACTCGCCATCGTGCGACTCTTCCTGCATCTTCTGACTCAAGATCCTACCCTCTTTGTAAAGAATAGCGAAGAAACTAAGGCTACTGTATGGACAAGAGGCAAGAACTTGGAATTATGCTTAAAAACTACGTCAAGGGTGTCTCTGTTCTACACGGCGTGGAGAGTGCGTCTGATTCGGAATCGGGGCTCTCAACCCTTTGAACACTTGATTTAACACAGTCAACTATAGAATGTGATATTCTATATAGATAGAATGTGTATAACGCCTCAATAAGTGAAATATTGGAATAAAATAGCTTTGTTCCTTAATATACTTGTGTTTTCCTTTCGAGTTAACTTCAATGATTATCATTGATATTTCATCAGAAAATAATGAATACTTATTGAGAAAAATATTCCCGAGTGCAAAGGGTTATACCTTAAAAGCACTAAATATTTGAAATGACTTTGGAAACAAATAGTTTCACTCGAGTACTATGACAAATATCCGAAGAAACTGAAAACAATCTATTACAATTTTTATAGAGATTACATATCGGTCGTACTAAATGCTCGGTAGTAGTATTAATCGAGCGTCGATCTACGCTGCAATAGACCCGAGGACGTCCATGCGCGAAAGATAGCGGCGCTCGTAAACGTTACCCCGTTCGTTATCGGTTACGATCGGCGATCACGGGTGCATTCGATAATTCGGTAACCGGGAATTACTACGCGGTCGAATCGTTTTCTACCTCTCGCATTGTGCGCTTAATCATTCCCGAAGTTTCGTTACGCAGCTACAAGACGTCAGCCAGGAGACAAAGGAAAACCGGAGGAGACGCCGGATCGGGGACAACCTTGATTGATTTTTACCACTAATGCATTTAAGAGCGCCGATTAAGCAGCTTAAAAACCTAATCTCTCAGCGTTCGCTGAATCGCTCTCTTATCTTTGGCCGGCATTCGCGCGGCCCGCGGTATTCGACCTGCATACCCGATTTTTGTATAAATACTAAGCGGACCGCTGGGAAAAGCATATCAATCCAACAACTCGAAGCAACATGTTCTTCCAAGCGAGCCTTCTCTCAGTCCTGGCCCTCGCGGCGGGTAAGTGAACGCATCGATCTCGTAACTCGATCAACATTCAAAATATACAAACTGTATCATCCTCTAAAGAGGACCAAGTCAAGATACAATTCAACATCAATCTTTCTTGCGAACGATGAGAAATTTCTCTTGCGAACGATGAAGACCAATTTCTCTCCGCAGCGAATCCTCTCGGCAAGCTGCCGGCTCTGAACCCGCTGTCGCCGAGCGGGCAGATAGTGGGCGGCGTGGACGTCAGCATCGAGGAGGTGCCGCACCAGGTGCTGCTGCAGAGCTCCGGCTTCGGCTTCTGCGGCGGCAGCATAATCGGCGAGGAGTGGGTGATCACGGCCGGCCACTGCATGGTCTACCCTCCCGAGTGGATCACCGTGCTGGCCGGGACCAACACGAAGTCGTCCGGGGGCAGCGAGCACAAGGTCGAGGTGGTCCACGTCCACGAGAACTACGACACCAACTGGTACGGCGTCCCGTTGAACGACGTGGCGGTGATGAAAGTGAGCACGCCCTTCAAGCTCGACAAGACCAGGCAGCCGATCAAGATCTTCAAGCAGGACGAGGAGAGCGTCGCCGGGGTCGGCGCGACCGTGACCGGATGGGGCGCGGTCAGGGAGGGCGGCATGACCCACGAGGTCCTCCAGAAGGTGAACGTGCCCATCGTCTCGAAGAGCTCCTGCAACGACGCCTACCAGTCTTATGGGGGTCTGCCCGCCGGCCAGATCTGCGCCGCCGTTCCCGAGGGAGGCAAGGACGCCTGCCAGGGTGACTCCGGCGGCCCCCTGACCATCGGCGGCCGACTCGCTGGACTCGTGTCATGGGGTTACGGCTGTGCCAGGCGAGGGTACCCGGGAGTTCACACGGAAGTCGCCGCGTACAGCGACTGGGTCGCCTCCAAGACGGGACTCAAGTTCTAAGCGACCCCTGACTGACCTCGAAGGATTCCCTCGAACGACGATTCGCACTGTTACTTCTTGTTCTTTGTGCTTGTGGGGTAGAATAGAATAAATAAACTTCAGCATCGAAAATATGGTACGATCTTGATTGACCCTTGCTTGTGAATTCTCCTTTGCGCTGGAGATTTTTCTTCATATTCGACACTCTTTCGTAGCATATAGATGTGAGTAATGTAAGCAGTTTGATTGTTTGAATTCAGCGAAGGAAAGTAGGAATAATTATTCGCAACGCTAGATTTACGGAACAAGTCGATTCGACTTGAACATAAGCATTGTTTGGTAAATGGATCGATTCCACTCTCGAACCTCTGATCTCTAAAATCTAAGTCAACGGATAACAGTGTCTCTAAGAACAATAGAACAGTACAGTGAACGTCGGTAAATCTAGAGTGAAATGTTTCCATTGAACGTCGGTCATCTCGACACAATAGTTTTCTAACAATTCAGAAGCGTCGTTGATCGGTGAGTGACACGGCGCTAAGCGGTTAAGCCCAGGCGCGATATTATCGTCGGATTCCAAGCTCCCTGGTCGTCGCGATAATTGAAATATCCGCGTAATACGCGCCTTTACTTACGCCGAGACGCGACAGCGACGTCGGCGCATCGGGAATTCGAGATAAAGAACGGGAAATATAATTTACGAAGAGAGCCCCGTCCCGGCCCCGGCGTAAGCCGGCGACGTTCGTTCTCATTAGACCGTCCCCGTCGAGATAGCGGCGACAAATCACAATTAGCGCGCTCCGCGGACAGCCCCGGCGAAGAAATCCGCGCCGCGTTTTCGCACCTTCTTCGATCGAAGATTCGCAGACCCGTAGTAGAGGGAACCCTGATTATTCTCCAAGTACCTGCGAAGGCTCACCAAGGAGAGCCCCCATGGGCGTGGGATTGAGATTAAGCTCGATCAGCCGAGGCCGTGGCCTTACCAGCGTTGCTTCCCGGGGATGACGAGTCCCATGGAAGTAGACTGTCGGTAGCGCCGAGTTACCTTTCCAAAAACTCTACCAGACTTCCTGTCTGGTCTACGAGCAGGTGGGACGCTGCTCGCGCGCCGAGACCCTCGAAAGGTCTCCGCCCAGCATGTAGGCTTCAACCACTGCCGCTACGAATCCAACACCAATTGCACCGGCCGAGAGGACCCGGGGACAAGCACCCATGGAACGCTCTCTGCGAGGGGACAAGGGGACTCGGCACCCTTCGTGCGCCCTCGTGGGCAACCGGAGAGCCCGTAGTACCAATCCAATCGCAGGTCTATCGCTAGGACCTGTCCGGCTTCTTGCATACACGAATAAGCTGTGCCCGCCATATCGAGGTGTCTCGTCCACACCAAGGGTTGGTTAGACCCTAGCTAAGGACCCCGTGATCGCCACACGGCCCCTGGCGCGAGCAACCTCGCGTTCGAGGCTTCCGGTTCGATGTCGCCGCTTTGACCCAGAAATTGGCAGAAATTGGCAGAAATTAGCTCCGCCGCTCGCGGAGTCAGCCGAGCGCGGTGCCGCCGTTCAATCTCGACTAATGCGCTAACCCGATTCCACGGGCTCGAAGTCGGAAACTACGGTAAGTGCGCCTCCGCCTTTCATTAACGGATCGCGTCGCCGTATCGCCGAGGCGGCACGGATACGGAAACGAACGCCGAGACGGGGACACGGGGCGCGACGGGGATGGAGATTCGGGCGGAAACGGACGCGCGTAGCTTCCGCGGAATCCCGGACACGCCGCGAATCGGCCGGCAAGAACCCGTAACAGAATCTCAACGGGTTGGCCGAGTTCCCCGAGGTTTTCTCGCGGGCGGGACGGGGGAACGGGGGTACCGGTGACCAGAAAGGCACCCCGAGGTCGCGCAATTAGCGCTTGATTTACATTACCGCGTCAAAAAGCTCTGCCAACGCGACGTTCTTCCGTTGCCAAATAACAAAGCGTATTCCTTGATCGCGATTTATCGCTTTTCACCTGCTGATTAAGGTGACCCCGGACGCGATACAGTTACGATCCTAATTACAAGCGTAATGGGCGATCGAGGTCTCGGATAGAGAAGACGCGAGTAGAGGAGACTGGCAACGAGCTCCCTGATTTTGTTTCTTCTACTGCTTCCTGTTTCCTTTTTCTGTCCAAGTTGCATCAAATTTACTTCTACCTTCTAGCTTCTACCTCTTCGAATCTCATCTCTCAATCTCGCACCTTCGCTTTCTTTCATTACATTCTTCCAGCCCCTATCTGTTCTCCGGTAATTCACAGCTCCCTCGATTCTATCCACATCTCTCCCTCCACTTTCTCTTCGAGCAGAACCTACCGAGGAAAGTTAGTCGCGAACTTCGCTGTCGACGCTACGCGTCAGGCCCGCGGATCCGCGAGGCGTTCTGAATAAATCTGCGCCGGGGAACGAGTGTACAGAGTGATTATTTACCCTCCGATTCCGCCGCAAGACGTTGGAGCCGTCGAGCTCGACGATAATCGGATTACGACGCACTCTTCGAGCGCTGCGCGCTAAAGGGAACCCGACGCGATTACGAGGAGATCCGAGATGTTGCAATTGTCCGACGCTCCGCAGCGGCGAGAGTTTCGCGGCGCATTGTTCGGGGAGGCGTGCCGCGTAGGCTCGGAAAGCCAATGTAATCGCGGCGAGAAACGAGCTCCACTTTTATATGGGTTAAAGACGCGACACACGGTCGGACTTTACGGCGATGGCTCGCGGGGAGAACCGGGACAGTTGCCAAAACCGATTCGCCCCGCGCCTCGGACACGTATGCACGCGTTAGTCACGAGTCCGCGTATAGCGACGGCAGAACGCGGCATTAACCCTGCCGCGGGCCTCGTTACAGTCGGACCGTTCGAGTAATGTCGAGAGAGGAGCGCGAAACGCACGCGAGTCGTCGGAATACGCCGATGTACACGCTGCGCGAGACGGTGCGAAGCTAGGTTTCCCGAGGGAGAACGAAGAGTGCACGATGAAGCTTATTAACTCTGCACTCTAAGCGTTTTCTACCAGAAATATCCAACACACTTTCTGGTGAAATATAGTCAACGTTTCTTGAAGCTAACTTAACGAGAAATCGTGCACAAATTGAAAAATGTTTTATGTTAATACTTCATACATTAAATATTATACTTCATAATTCTGCTGTGTCAAATCGAGTGGCGACTGAGGGACGCCTATGGAGTGCAAAGGGTTAATTTTTCTGATGATATTCAAAAGTTGTAGGGGACATGATTTTGAACATTTGTGTTGCCAAAAGGCTTTGGTTTCCGAAATAATCACGACCTTCGCTTTTTATATTGCATTAACACGCTGCTAGCGTCATAATTGTGAACAATGTATTTCACATGAAGAATATTGAATTATTCCTACAAATATTGTTATTTAAAGTTACAAGCTACGGCATTGTATTCGGAGACTCATTGGCTCGTTCCATTTCTTCAGTTTCGTTTACATCTGTCGAGTCGAATAGAATACAACTATTTCACCGAAATAATCTAACTAGCGAACGTGTTAACCCTTAGCACTCCAAGTTGTTTTGTGATCCATCAGCAACTGCAACTAATTTTCATAGTATTCCTATCGAAAATGAGAAATGCTGTAACATTCCTTCGATCTTCTATTTTCCTTCTCAATGCAAAATTTGGATATGTGGAAAGTCGAATAATCTTAGGGTAGTTTCTCTAAGATTCATTAAAATATCTAATATTCCAACTGGTGCACTATTGGAGGCTACAGAGTTCAAAGGGTTAACTTGAGCGCAACTTGAAGATGCACTCGGTAATCGATAAGCTTATCGTAGCGAACCAACACTTGTCTCTCCAGAAACGGGTGCACGGTTGAACAACCGAGTTTTGAAACCCGTCCAGATATTACCCGCCATCAGCTGCCGCCGATATATAAGAGGCGAGCGGGATATTCGCGAAGATATTGGGCGCAGGTGTGCCAGCCGAATCGCCGACGCGCTTTGGACGTCGACCAAGGGTGGCGAGATCGCGCGGCGACCTCTGCACCCGCGGCTCCGCGAGAGGTTCCTCCGGAGAATCGCGTCCGCGGTCTCCGCCGTGAATCGGGCAGGGTTCGACGAACGAGAACCAGCGGGCGAATGCAAACAACCGAGGACCAGTCGATAAATTATTTTTAGACCGTCCGGTTAGCCAGCGTAGCATTAACGATCGAACGCCGGGTAAACGGGGGCGATCCGATCGAGGCCAATAGCGATTGCCCCGCGATCGAACCTTGATCCGACGATGGATCCTCCGGCGTTCTGCTCGCCGAAGGACGCAGCTCGCGTCGTTAATTTCTCGCACGACGGATCTCCGAGCAGTTCCGTCGGAGAGACCCGACTTCGGGCGAAAATGTGCGAAACGCTGGAACCGAGGGGGTTCCGGGCACTAAATATCGAGGGTCGGAGAGTGGCCTGTTCAGGCGCAGTGTCCTTCGACGATGCTCAGGGTTTACGGACGCTGAAGTTGCAACGAGGGACGAACCGAGGATAAAGATGCTTTCCGTCGACGTTCCCAAAGAAAGCTGGCGATCGAGGGTGGAGGATCCGAAACGGGTCGACTCGGGCATTCCCGTGATTCCTCTCTACAGTATCCTTTCGACATAATATTTTACCTCTTACGAGAAGCTGCAACGAGGCTGCTCGAGTCCTCGAAGACAGCGCCGACAGCCTAGATACCGCGCGGTGAATTTCAGTAACCCTATTCGCCGATGAGTGCGCGACAATTTATAGGCGGCGCGCTCTTTTAATCGATATTTATAGACGCCTGCCGGTATTTATAGGGCCGATTGACCTGATATTTATAAAGCCGATGCGAAAGCTTGACATTTAAAAAGAAGAATGTATTCTCGGGGAGATAAAGGGTTGCCGCGCGCCGCTCTCCGCTCGAGCACGCGGACCGTTCGTACGGCGGATCGTTCGTTTCCCGCAGGTTTCCGGACGGGAGGACCGTTTCCATTCTTCGGCGCGTTCGACGGGCCAGGG